GTTTGAGGGGGAGAAAAATGAACAAAACTTGAAGAACGACCACCCCCTCGAACTAAAGAAACTGCCCGACCACTTAGAATATGCATTCTTGGATGACGAAGGCAAATGCCCTGTCGTCATCGCCGCACACTTAAGTGAAGAACAAAAGGAGAAATTACTTGGAGTCCTTAAGACACACAAGCAAGCAATTGCTTGGAAACTTGAGGACATCAATGGAATTAGCCCCACCTTTTGTACCCACACCATCAAAATTGAGGAAGGGTTTAAACCAGTTGTCCAACCACAACGACGTTTAAACCCAAACATGATGGAAGTAGTGCGTGCTGAGATTGTCAAACTGCTGGATGCGGGTATCATTTACCCCATCTCTGATAGCCAGTGGGTAAGCCCTATTCATGTTGTTCCCAAAAAGGGGGGAATGACCGTCATGAAAAATGAAAAGGGCGAACTTCTACCCAGTCGAACTGTTACCGGGTGGCGAATGGTAATCGATTACCGCAAACTGAACGAAGCCACCCGGAAAGACCATTTTCCCCTTCCCTTCATCGATCAATTAATAGAGAGGTTGGCAGGCCATAGTCACTACTGTTTCCTGGATGGCATGAGTGGATACTTCCAAATCCATGTCAACCCGGAAGACCAAGACAAAACTACGTTTACATGCCCTTTTGGGACCTTTGCTTTTCGTAGGATGTCTTTTGGTCTCTGTAATGCCCCTGCCACCTTCATGAGGTGCATGATTGCCATTTTTGAAAAATACATTGGCCACTTCATGGAGGTATTCATGGATGACTTCTCTATTTTTGGGGAAACATTTGAAAAATGCCTTGAAAACCTGGAAAAAGTACTTATCCGCTGCAAGGAAACCCATTTAGCCCTAAGTTGGGAGAAATGTCACTTCCTTGTGAAAGAGGGTATAGTACTTGGACATAAAGTGTCAAGTAACGGGGTAGAGGTGGACCGTGCAAAAATTGAGACGATAGAGAAACTTCCTCCACCAACCACGGTAAAAGCCATCCGCAGCTTCTTAGGACACGCGGGCTTTTATCGTCGTTTTATAAAGGATTTCTCTAAAATCGCAAAACCTCTCACCCGGTTACTTGAAAAAGATGCGGTTTTTATATTCTCTGATGAATGTCACCATGCTTTCCAAGCACTTAAAACACAACTGATCAATGCTCCTGTGCTTGTGGCCCCGGATTGGAGTTTACCCTTTGAACTCATGTGTGACGCTAGTGACTTAGTAGTGGGGGCCATCCTTGGTCAAAGGAAGGACAAGAACTTCCACCCAATCTACTACGCTAGCAAAACTCTATCAGGGCCACAACTCAACTACACTACCACTGAAAAAGAATTCCTTGCTATTGTTTGTGCTTTAGAGAAGTTTAGGACTTACATCATTCTTTCGAAGGTTATTATCTATACCGACCATTCGGCCATTAGATATCTCCTCCAAAAGCATGATGCTAAGCCTAGACTGTTACGCTGGGTTCTTTTGTTGCAGGAATTTGATATTGAAATCAGGGACCGAAAAGGATCTGCTAATCAGGCAGCTGATCACCTCTCGAGGTTAGATGCCGAGTTAGCAGAAACTTTCGGAAAATGCGAAATTGAGGAACTCTTTCCTGCTGAGAGACTAATGGCTATATCCGCCAAGGAGCAAACACCGTGGTATGCCGACATTGCCAACTACCTTGTTGGTAAAGTCGAGCCTACCGAACTGACAAGGCACATGAAAAGGCGGTTCCTATCAGAAGCAAAGCACTATTTTTGGGATGATCCATATCTATTCCGAATTTGTGCCGACCAGGTGGTGAGAAGATGTGTTACTGAAGCTGAGGCAAAGGACATTCTGGAGCATTGTCACAGCGGTCCTACTGGGGGCCACTTTTCAGGGAATAGAACCGCAAGGCGGGTTTTGGACTGTGGGTACTTCTGGCCCACGATTTTTAAGGATGCTAATGTATTTGTTTCTTCTTGTGATAACTGTCAACGAATCGGGAACATTTCTGGGCGCAATGAGATGCCCCAACACTTTATCTTACCTTGTGAGGTATTTGATGTTTGGGGCATCGACTTTGTTGGACCTTTCCCAAGCTCAAGAGGAAACAAATACATTCTTGTGGCCATTGATTATGTTTCTAAATGGGTCGAAGCCCAGGCCTGTGTCACCAACGACTCTCGAGTAGTCGTGAATTTTCTGAAAAAGCTCTTTACCAGATTTGGTGTGCCCAGGGTTTTGATCAGCGATAGAGGGACTCATTTCCACAATGATCCAATGGCCAGAATTTTGGCCAAATATGGAGTCCAACATCGAAGCGGAGTAGCGTACCACCCCCAGACTCAGGGACAAGTGGAGAACGCTAACAGGGATTTGAAGTCCATTCTGGAGAAAACTGTTGCCCAGACCAGGAAAGACTGGTCGACTAAACTTGACGACGCTCTTTGGGCATTTCGGACTGCATACAAAACCCCGATCGGAACCACACCTTTTCGCCTTGTATACGGGAAGTCTTGCCACTTACCCGTCGAACTCGAGCATAAAGCACTTTGGGCGATGAAAAATGTCTGTTTTAAACTGGATACTGCAGGGAAGGAACGATTTTACCAGCTGAATGAACTGGAAGAATGGAGAGCGCAAGCTTTTCATAATTCCAAACTTTACAAGGAACGAGCCAAACTCTACCATGACCAACACATCAAGGCTCGTGATTTCAATGCTGGGGATAAAGTGCTGTTGTTCAACTCCAGGTTGAAGCTTTTTCCGGGAAAGCTTAAGTCAAGATGGTCCGGACCGTTCAAAGTCGTAAAAGCTTACCCCTACGGAACGGTTGAGATTGAAGATGCTAATGGGGGTCCCTTTAAGGTCAACGGCCACCAACTTAAACTGTACCATGGTGGCCCAATTGAAAAAAGCAAGGAGATTCTCTATCTCCAAAAATTTTGAACCAAGGGAGGACATTCGTCAAGCTAGTGACGTTAAAGAAGCGCTAATTGGGAGGCAACCCAACAAAAAAAAAAAAAAAAAAAAAAAAAAAAAAAAAAACTAACCCAAAAATATTTTACTTATTTCTTGCAGATGTCTGGAGGAAGACGTGACGATCCCATTTTTGAGGAGCCACCACTAGGACGGGAAGACCCGCCACCTCGGCCTGATATCCCATTTGCTACTATTGCTGATCGCAGACGCTTCCAGACATGGGGGCAATACCGCACACTCCTTCCTCCCATGATTCTGGACCAGACGATGCTTAGTTTTACTTCTTCCGTGACATTTTTTTATTGTGTTTGTTTGTTTCTTCAGGTTGGACATTGCGCTGCTCTTTTGACTTGAATGCTCTTACAAACTGACTATGGATGATGTAAGGATTTTAAAAAAACCATTTTATTCCTGTTTCATTATTCCTCTTCACAAAATCTTTTCAAAACTCAAGTGTGAGGAAAGAACCAAAAAAAAAAAAAAAAAAAAAAAATGTGTCTTTATTTCAAGGTTTTGTGCCTTAAAAGAAGACCTCGAGGGCGAGTTCTAGCTCAAGTGTGAGGAGGTTGCGTTTTACACTCAAAAAAAAAAAAAAAAAAAAGTTAAAACCTTGCTTTAGAACAATCTTTTTACTATTTTTGATATGAAACATTAATTTCTCAATTTGTTATCAATCACATAATAGTTTAGGTAATCACCCTTATTATAAGAATTTACTTTTATTATTATTTTTAGAAAACTTAAATCTGTTATGGGTTTTTGGTTGTGAATGTAAAGGGCTGAATTTGTTTTAATTGGACATTCATTCTATTCAAAAAAAAAAAAAAAAAAAAAAAAAAATGATAGTTTATATTAATAAACCTCTTCAAAACTCATTGTTATAGGACAATTCCATCTCCGAAAAGGGGCTCTGTTTCATTCGTTAATCACAGTCTGTGAGAATGAAATATGCATTTACCATGGGATAACACCGCCAACAAGAGTGAAAAAGAGCAAAAAAAAAAATAAAAAAAAAAATAAAAAAAAAAAAAATAATAATAAAAAAAAAAATGGTGAACAAAATGAATGTCCAAATTAGAATAATGAAAACCTTGGGATAAGGAATTGATTGGTGGTTTAACATAATAAATAGTTTTTCTTAAGTAATACTAATTTTAAATTCTTGTATTTTGGGTGATTTTTCTAAAATGTTTAAAGATTGAGAATAAAAATAAGAGGTTTTTGTTTCTACTTCTTTAAAATAGCAACTAGATTGTAATACAGTTAGACTTTACCTTTTGAGTGTGTTTACAACTAATTCGTCGCTTGAGGACAAGCAACGCTTAAGTGTGAGGAGATTGATAAGTCCATTTTTGTACTTATTTTTCTTATCAAATTTAAGCGATTTTTGAATGAAAATAGAAAGAAAAGACACATTTTATATATTTTGGTTCAAGTTTCATGAAATCAGGTGAAAATCACATCCATAATATGTTTAGCGGGATTTCGGGTCAATTGAGCACAAAATGAGTCAATTTGAGTGACAAATGCACTTATACCGGAAGAAGCAAGCATTGTATCAAGGTGATTCAGAAGACAAAAATGAAGAGCAGGAAAAGCCGCATCTGCCAGACAAAAATGGCAGAAGGCGCCCAAATAGGCGCCCAAAATGGAGGCCTTCGCGGCCGCCTACGGGAAAAATCAGAAGTCAACCTCGCTTTGACCCGGGACCAGGAAAAGACCGAAGGCTACCGACACTGGACAGAAGGCGGCCGCCTACGGTGGCCGCCTACGGCAGAAGGGGACGAAACCAACCACCGGTCGGCCAGACAGGACGGCAGGCGGCCAGACAGGACGGCAGGCGGCCGCCTGCTGGACCGCCTGCGGCGGCCGGGATCCGCCGGGATCCGCCGGGATCCGATTTGACATGAAAAGACGGCAGGCGGCCGATGGGTGACGGAAGGCGGCCGCCCTCTGTGGCCGCCTACGGCTGACGGGGACCGGCCACCGACCGCTGTCGGCGACGAAGACGGCAGGCGGCCGGAGAGAGGCGGAAGGCGGCCGCCTGGTTGGCCGCCTACGGAAGGCGGCCAGATTCCGACAGAAGGCGGCCGCCCTCTTGGGCGCCTTCGGTGAAATTTCTGCTATAAATAGCAGGCTTTTTCCCCATCTCAAACACACCTCTTCCAACCCTAAATCAGTTCAAAACACCTTCTTTCTTCCTCCATTTTCGAGCTCCAAAGGTCTTAGAGAGAGAGAAACTTCAAATCTTCATATCTTCTTCATTTTAGCTCCAAATTGTAAGTTCTTTATATGTATTTTCATCTTCTCAACGAGTAGAATCTGAATCTGCACTTTGTTTGTTCAATCTGTTCTTCGAAAATTTCCAGATTATTTTTCAAGTATTTCGCATTTACTTCCAAAAATTAAATAAAATAGTTATTGTTGTTGAATTCATTCCAATTAATTATATAGTTGTTTACTAGCCTCAAGGTAGTTATTTATCTGAATAAATTAATTTTTCACGAAGCATAAGTAATTTTTAATTAATTTTGGTAATTATTTGAGATTAGTTCATAATTTAGAATAAATACTAGAAAAATAGAAAAAAAATTAGTTCGGCCTTAATTTCAGTTTGATTCATAGTAATATCACTCCCAGTAGCTAGAATAAAATTTATAACGAAGTTAGCATATTTTTAGTTGCTTTTTGCATTTTCTAGTTAAAATTGGGAAAATTATCAATTAGTTGTCAAAAATTGGATTTTAGGTTCAAAAATTGGTGAAAAATTCCAGAAAGTTATATTTTAGTTCCTACAAGTTTATTGTTCCAGAATATAATTTTTGTTTAATTTTTGCTATCATACATGTTTAATTCCTTGTTAATGTTGAATTTAATCATTATTTTGTTAATTGCAAAAATGGTGATGAGTAGCTAAATTTGTTAGGGCATGAATTGAGAAAAGGAATATGGATTGACTTGTTGACCTAAAATTAGGGGTTAAAATTAATAAATTGGACTAGTTGTTTGAAATGATGAAATAGTAATTAATAATAGTTAGCCATATTCATTAATTAAATTCTTGGAAAATTAATTCTAACTTGTCTATGAGATTAGAAAATAATTTAAGCCAACCATTTTAAACACATTAATGACACCTAGAAATAGGATAAATTAATGAAGATAGTTTCTATTCTTGTCTATGAGGAAAGAAATTATTAGTCCAATTTTAGTTTTAATTTCCCTAATTAAGAGGTCCAAGAACATATCCATTTCCAATTACTCAATTCATTGCCCTTATTTGCATCCTTGAATATTCAATATTTATACATTAATCTTTAAATTGCACCTTGCTCCTAGTTATAATTTAGCGTAATATAGAACAAAATCACTTTCCTATATTGAAAAAGCTTCCAGCAATTAGCGATAGCCCGTGACTAAAATTAAATTAAGAAACTTCTCCGCCATTCCTCAAGAGACACGACACTCGGGGAAAAACCGAAAGGTTAGACTCCGTTTTACTACAACGCCGCGAAAGCGGTTATCAATTGTGTTTGTTAATCTGCTATCATTTGTATGATTATTTAATTTTTTTATACTAACTGTCAAAGTTTTTGACCGTATGTCTTGAAACTCAAATCCAAAGATCCTAATTTTCGAATATATTACTAAAATATCAACATTCGAATGACCGAAGTTAAAAATCATAATATCATCAGGATATATTATGTTTCTGGCACAACTGGACTGTTTGTTGCACCTAAAACAGACTTTTTCTCCAAGCTATATGCAATTAGTTTTTTTTTGAATTAATTCTTTGTACTATACAAAAATTCATTTTGATTACCCACTCAGCTGTGCATATTTTCAAATGTTGACTCACCATATTAATTTCGGAGTCCATTAGACACCTACTGCTTGAAGCATGCCCCTTGTAGTTTTGTCTAACCTTGGACCATATTTAATATCAACCTTATCTATGGTTTTCAAGTATTTTTATTTCAACAATGTACATCAATTTTTTTGAAGTCAATTATATAATTTTTTTTATAAAAGTTATTTTGGTTGACAGTACCTTGTATAATTTTTATTTATTCTCTGGTTTTACAATTTTTGGTAAACAGATCTCTATACAAACTACTGTTTATACCATATTTAATAGATACACACCATGACCCATTATATCAACCTAAGATCCTTTCAATGCCATATTTTAATAGGGCACTCACACTTTACCCTTAGGTGACTCATTTATGCAATTAAAGTCAATGCAATTATAATTTCCTCAACATATTTTAACAAACATCAATCATTTTTTAATTAAGACTTTAGCCACATATAATTGTTTTATTGTTCAAATAAACATGTATCAATTATAGACTTTAGCCACATTTTTTAATTATTGTTTTATTGTGAAACTTTAACTCACACTTAACACACTAAATGAACACCAATTCACTCTACTAAATGAAATCTAACAGAGATTTACTTCAACTGGTGCCTAACTTACAACCCAAGACCCTTCGAATGCCATATTTTAATAAGGCACTCACACTTAACACTTAAATCACTCTTTTCTTCAATTATGAAATTATGTTCTCCCTAGCTTATTTATGCTCGGATTAATGTCACAAAACACCCCTCCCACAACTTTTAATCAAACATCACCATGTAATGAAATTTATGCCACCTTTTTCCAATACATTCTTAACACCCTTCATGCACTGATAAACGCTCTTCCTACCCATTTTCATGTCATAGTTATATATGATGCATTTTTTTTCTTTTTCTTACACAATATACCCCAGAAATATGTTTATACCATATTTAATGGATACACACCATGACCCATTATGTCAATCTAAGTCCCTTCCAATGCCAAATTTTAATAACGCACTCACGCTTTACCCTCAATCATGATTCCCCCAACTAATTTTTACCAACCTTAATCATTTTATAATTAATACGTTAGCCACGTATAATTGTTTTATTGTTCAAATAACATATATCAACTATGATTTTTATTTAAACAATTCCTCACATTACTCACATCATAATATAATCACACCTACATGCTGGTTTTAAACTTTGTTTTACTCATAGCAACTAAACAAACTTTATGAGATGTGAATAACATTGTAAAGAAGTAAAACTTTATATAACATTTAACACACACTGTATTACTCACTCAGTTAGATTTAACACCTATTCACACTACTAAATGAAATCTAACAGAGATTTACTTCAACTGATATCTAACGTAATAACCTAAGACCCTTTTAATGCCGTACTATAACACCCATCTTACCCCTTTTCTGATATACACTCTTCCTGCCCCTTTTCATGTCACAGATATGCATGATACATTTTTTTTTGTGTTTTATACACAATACACCAGAAATATGTCTATACCATATTTAATAGATACACACCATGAACCATTTCTAATCATGTGAATTTAAGACCCTAGATCAATAAACATAGGGTAATATGTTCCAGTTCATTCTAACGAAAAACGTCAACAGAACGAATGAAATATGACTGATATGATTTTTAATTAAATACTTGTTTTCATCTTTGAATGTTTTTTCTTAGTTTGTTATCCATATACGAAACACCTGTTCCTTTTCATATTGCTATGTAAATCATTTGGCATGTTATTATATTAACCATCTGTCAGTCTATTCAATTTATTAGTTATTTTAAATAATCACCTTTTAATATTTGTTTTTATTGTCCCTATCTTTGCTGATGTTCATAGATGCGAAAGATGAGTTTGAAGAAGATGAGTTTGATGAGTGTGTATAAGGTAAACACCACACCATCTTTAATCATCATTATAGCATCTAATATCTCAGCAAAAATATTTTCTAAAACTGGCTCATTATATGTATCACTTACACGACTATGTTTTACTACAACTGCTACAAAACTATTCCATCTCATAGAGATTACACGATGTTACTAATATGCTTGAAATTAACTTATCTATTTTGTTTACTAATCGAAAGTTTACAAATGGAAATACTCTTGATAATTGAGGTTATTACTTTTACCCTTTTATCAATTTACTCTTGATTCACCACTTTTCTAATGCCATGTTTTAAATTTCTATTTTAAAATAACCCACCATGTTCAAAAGATTTGATGATGGAAAAGTATTTTGCATCAAAGGTAGTCTTATTAACAATCAACCCTATCATGCACTATTAATCTCACAATTAACTCCTCATTCAATCCTACTTTTTCTTACCTGGCACCCACTGATTCAATCAAACTTAAGAACTACACAAAACACAAAAAAGGATTACGACCAAACCCTAAGAAGCAAATACTTCGTATTTCCGTATGTGATGCCTGTTTAATACTATTGTTTAACACTCAATCATATATGAAATAACCTGTTTACCGTAGGTATAGTTCGGCAAAGTTCCTCTCTTTGGGCCTATTGTTGTAGACTTATAGAGCTTAGGCATGGCGTATTGGACTCAACTGCAACACGATTTTCTCTCTATCTGGAACTTGCGACATAGAATTGAAATTTTAACATATTTAGATACACAAACATTGATAGCATCAAGAATGCCAACCAAAAAAAGACTTCATTCATTATCATGACACAAATTTTCAAGGAAAAACCATTAACAACCACAACCATAAACCAAGTCCAGAACTTAAGCCATGCATGACCTAAGTGGAAAATATGGCTTAACAAAAACTAAGTACAGTAGATATTCCTTCCTGTTCATACAAAACACAGATTAACCATCACAATAAGTACATTACATTAGCCATGCATCAACCACCATTTTAAACCTCAACCTCCCCAGTCAGCCACTTAAAGTCCATTGTGACCACCATCTCCCCATCAAAATACTTCTTGTTCAGCTTTTTCTTTCGGGGAGAACGCCTGGGAGTTGAGGGGCTATCTGCCATCTCCAAACCCTCTACCACGCCCTCTATAGGGTGGGAATCAGCCATCAAAACCATCTCTGCTTCAACCTGAGATGCTAATGGCTGGAAATCAGGGTTTTCTGCTTCTTCTTTCACCATTGTTTTAAATGGCTGCACATCAACCATTTCCGGAATTTCTTCCTTCACATGAAACTGAAATGGGTGATCATCAGCCATTCCAAACTCACGCTTAATCTCAGGGATCATGCCAAAAGAGTCCAATTCAGCCATTCGGTGAACATTATCTACACATTCTTCACACATCCACCTAAGATCAAGATCAAAAGACACCTCCCTCATGCAGTACCGATGTTGTGCATTTGTGCATACAACACACTTCACTATGAGATGCCCCCATTCACTGCTGCCGCAGACATTACAAATCACATTTGGAAAAAGTTTTTTCCCCATTTTCTCTACACATAATTTCAAAATTACATATATAAGAATTTTAGTCATAAAACGCATGCATGCATGCAATCATTTTCTTCTGTACGGATTAGATTTTCAATAAACTTTAGATGTAAAAAAATTACAGAAGAAACATTTGATGAAATGTACTATGAAATTTGCATAAAATTTTCATATTAACCTTTAAAGGTAGTTACTTAAAAAAATATTCATTATATATTGATGTGTCAAGAGAAACTTGAGCCTTTAATGGCACTCGACACAATAAATGCTAAGTATGGGTTGATGTCAAGACTTTTAAATTTATTTTTACCTGATGTAGGTACACCAAAAACCTCAGCACATTAACTTCAATGCTATTTCTTTGTACTTGATGTGGAAAGCTTGAGAAAGTAAGTAGGTGAGCACTCTATTTATATTGAAGCATCTCCCTTGTATTTTGCACTATCATCATCATTGATTTAAACCTAATAGCCACCACGTTGTCTAACCTGACTGGTGCATAGGGCGGCTCACTTGTCTAATAGCCAGGCCCTTTATTTACTCCGTACTCATCAAGGGTCCAAACATTATTTTCAAAGTCAAATCCAACGCATGCAATAAGTCCTGCAAAATATCTTTTAGATATGGTTTTAACACTTTTGTGGGTAATAAACCATCATTATGATCTCGCAACTGTCTGTTTGCCCATGGTTTTTGCTTTTTGCTTTCACATGGTTCTATAAAGTTATTTTTGCTAGACATTGTGATAATTAGACCTACTTATCTATTTTTTTAAAAGCAAAACCTAATTCTCTATTATGAGATATATTTACTACCACGTATGATACTTATTAATTACACATTGTAGCTTACACCTTTTTGCTGGTTATGTAGTACTCCGTATGACACTTATTCCGTATAAAAGCAATTAAATATTAAAACAAATAGTATTTTGTTACCCGAAAAATAATTATTCTAATTTGATTGGTGGAAAGAGTGGCCGATAATCAATTTATTTTAATTGTCAAGTCCTTTTTTTAATTGCTTATCAAGGTTGCCAAATTATGTTTTAGAAAAATGCTAAAGGTACCTCAATTGGTACCCCAATTTGTACCCCCACCCAAATTTTGTGGCTCACAAAAGCACCTCATTAAATTGAAGCAATTCATTTATTGAGGTGGGCTTTTGTGAGCCACAAAAACAGGTTGGAGTACAAATTGGGGGTACCAATTGGGGTACCTATAGCAGGGTTGCATATTTTAATAGTCAATTCATTGTTCATGCATACAATGACACGTATAAACCCTATCTTAGATTAGGCTTAAAGACTTTTTGCAGCAAAACAGACCATCATTATCACCTATCACATCTGAGTGCCTCCAGGGTCCTGGCTATTTGCTTTCACATCAGTCGTGAAAAGTTAATTGCTAGGCATTGTGATGATTAAACCCACTTTATCTATTTCAAGCTATACTAATTATGAAACTGGAGAAATGTAAATGGTAGTTCATACAGAGCAGCTTGTTTGCGTGACTCAGCAAGATTAATATTATTATCACGAATTAAATATAAAATAAAATAGTATTTTTCATACCCGTTATTTAAAAATAAATAAATTGTAAATTATGAATCTCCATTTAATAACTAAACTTTCCAAAGCAATTTATTTTTTTATTTGACATTGCATATGATAAATTGCATATGATAAATTGCATGCGAATAGATTTTCGATAGTCTAGCTTTACCACTCATTAAGGCAAAAGAACCACATTCATGAGCTCTTAAATCTGACTGCCTCCTAAGAGCTGCAAAACGGCTGCCTTTTTGCTTTTACATCAGTTGTGAAAAGTTTTTTCCTATACATTGTGATCATTAAACCTACTTATCTATATATCAATAGTGATACTGAATAATTATTAATGGTACTTCATACATTTTTTATTTCGTTATGAAATAATTAAAAAAAGAAATGGTAAAATATACGGAATGTATCCCGATTTAATATTAAATCTTCCATTTTTATTTATATATTGCGTATGAAATCCTTATAATTTTTTTTTTATTTAATCTACCTTAAACTCTTATTAAAATAAAACAACCTATAATCCTGACCTCTCACATTTGACAGCCGCCTATATGCTGCAAAATGGCTGTATATCACCCGCATGAGTGTAAAAAGTTACTCCATATCTTAGATGCGTATATGTTAAACACCCTTTGAATGAAAAACACCATCATGACGACCTCTCGTGAGTGTAAAAAGTTACTCCATACCTGCAATACGGCTACTTTTTGTTTTCTGGACTCTGTGATAATCAATGCTACTTATCAATAGTAGTACTGAATAATTATAAATGGTGTGGTTCATACAGAGTACAATATTTCGTAATTTTGTATGATAAATATTATCATGAAATAAATATATATCAAAACATTATTTTATCTCCACATTATTTATTATTTATAAATATAAATTGTGAAATAATCCTTATATATTTACATTTAAAACCTAAGATTCAATTTCAATTTGATTTGTCATTTGAGAAGGCAGATGATATACCTTATAAAATAAATTTTGATAGTCTATCTTCAACTATTTCTGAGGTAATAAACCATCATTATGACCACTTTTTGAGGCAAGATAATTCCTACTTTCTTATATTTATTTGCTTAAAATTTGATATTGCATATGACCCATATTAAAACGTTTTCCATACTTATGTCTTCTTTTTTTAAACCATATACCGAGTACCTATTGAATAACTATTAACTATTATTCACGGTATAGGTATCCAACACCTTGAATAATTATGTACCTATCAATCATTATTTCCTACTTCATTTCTAAATTATCTACCTATTTTTGAAAATTTTAAATTTAAAAATATATATTTACATTTAAAACCCGAGATTCAAAAATACGTATAGTTCTTAAAACATAAAAACCTAAATCTCATAGTTGCTTATCGTAATTTCCAATTCATAAATACTTAGTACAGTACGCTTGCAGATTCATCACAATACATTTCCATTAGTTTTCAATCTGTTTTTTTTTCGTTTTTTTTTACAATTTATTATCTAAAAATAGTATCTATAATATTTATTTAAATGTTTATTTTCCAATTTTTATTTAAATTATATTCAATAATACTAACTATATTCAAGTATACTCACTGATTCATCACATTTATATTTTTTCCCAATTAATATTATCCACAATGTTTTTTTGAAACATTATTTTATGATTATATTATTTATTATTCATCATCCAAATATATAAATTTAAAAATATAGATTTACATTTAAAACCTGAGCTTCAAAAATACGTATAGTTCTTAAAACATAAAATTCTAAATCACATAGTTGTTTATGGTTATTTCCAATTTACAAATACTTAGTACAGATGTATGAGCGTATGCTATTGTCACAAGAAGCTCTCATCCCTCTCTAACCCTCCCCTCCCCCTCAACCTCGGCCACCATGGCCGGGGATATTCCTCCTCCGACATTCCAACGGCGACCACCACAGCAACACAAGACAGGAAGACAACAACCCCAACCTTCTGGAAAACAGGAGCAACAGCAACCACCACCCATTCGGACATTTGCAGATGTCATCAAACGCGGCCTGGATCCAGAAATTCCTTTGAAGGAACCATCCAGATTTAAAGGTATGCCTTCAGTCTCATTCTCACCCGACGAAATCTCTGCACTGTCCCAGAAACTCTCCTTTGCTCTCGTCGGCTCTTTCCACAGTGGAAGGCCAAACCTTGCCACAATCCGCAGACTGTTCGAAAGAATAGGATACACCGGCAAATTCACTTTGGGATTGCTGGCACCACAACACGTTCTTATACGTTTTGAAAATGAAGAAGATTACCAGAGGTGCTGGATGAGGCAGTCCTGGTCTGTTTTGGGCTATGAAATGAAGATAAGGAAATGGACCCCCAACTTCAACCCAGAAACAGACTCTCCTATAGCTCCTATATGGATAGAATTAAGAGGTTTGCCGGTGCACTTTCACGACCGTAGGGCTCTTCTATCTATTGCGAACCTCATTGGTAAGCCATTGAAGGTAGATACCGCAACCGCCACCCTTTCCAGGCCCTCAGTAGCGAAGGTATGCATCGAACTAGACCTCTCAAAGGACCCCCCCTCAAAAATCTGGATCAACACAGGAGAATCCGGATTCGCTCAGGAAATTTCGTATGAGGCCATTCCTAGATACTGTTCGGATTGTCAACTAATTGGGCACTCCAACTGCAGTAAAGGTAAGTCCTCTCTTCCCAAATCCCTCCTCCCTCAAGCTCATCAAACTAAAACCTCCATACTCACAATCACCCATCCCGAACCACCAACCACACCCTCCATCACTCCCCAACCCGACCCCCTACCTGCCAGCTCACTATCAAACCAGCCCTCAACCCCAGCCAGTATACCCATTCCACCACCCGAAACCATCCCCCAATTCACCCCTAAAACCGATTTCCTACCATCCTACCTCTCAAACACTTCAAACCCAACCCCCCATCTCAGCTCCCATGCGCCCAACCCAGAACTTCCCCTTCCAGATAACCAATCTCCACCAACACTGTCTCACGAACCATCCCTTAATCCTACTGACCCTCCGTTTATATCCTTGGATGACTCAAACCTGACCATTGGACCATCAACTATCGCTTTGACAGAAGATGGTCACACTTCTGATGGCATCCCCGAATCACCCCTTTCCCCAGCCCCCATTGAGACTTGGACTGAAATCTCAGACACCTTATCTCACAAACTCTCCCTTGCCTCCACAAAGGAATTTTCCGACAGGCTCATTAAATCAACCCCAAAAAAAACCAACAAAAGACTACCAACCCCACCCCTTCCACCAAAACACACCCGCTCTCAAACTATAGCCGAGGCCAAGCGGTCTCACCACTCTTCCCAATGATTGTGTTCCACTGGAACACTTGTGGCCTCACAACCTCCGTTACGAGGCTACACAACTTGCTCCTCCAATGGAAACCCTCCATTTTGGCTATCACAGAACCAATGGTGTCCTGTTCCAAGATTGATCACTTCCGAACAGTTCTTGGGTTCACCAAAAGCTTCACTAAAGAAGACAACAAGATTTGGGTTTTCTGGAACGACACAGAAACTCTTGTTCAGAATTTCTCCCAAACAGAACAACTCATTCATGCTTCAGTTAAGGATCTAAGTTCCGGTTTTACATTCTTAATTTCGTTGGTCTATGGAAAACACTCCAGGGGAGATAGACAAAATCTGTGGTCCGACCTAAGGCAGGTATTCAACAGCAACCACCAGCCGTGGGTGGTGGGAGGGGACTTCAACGTCATCGCCTCCATCGGTGAACACAAAGGTAAAACCACTCCTAAGATCAACGACATTTCTGATTTTACCGAAGCTACTGATTTTTGTAATTTACACCCCGTGGAATTTATCGGAAGTAAATTCACCTGGTCTGGGGTCAGAGTCAATGGACGAGTATGGAGACGGTTAGACAGGTTCATGTGCAATGACCTATTCAGGGACCATTACAGAGACTTAATTGAAATCCACCTATCTAGAGCTTCGTCCGACCACACCCCCCTAATACTAAATTGCAAGACTCCAACAACTGATGGACCCAAAATTTTTAGATTCCAAAATATGTGGTCTACACACCACATGTTTCTGGACACTGTCAGACAGTCCTGGAATGCTAGCTGCAGTTCGGACGGAATAGGTGGTATGGGTCCCTTTTACAGAAAATTATGTAGGCTGAAAACAAATTTGAGAATTTGGAACAAACAGGTCTTTGGGGATATTTTCAAAAAGCTCAAAATAGCGGAGGAGGAAGCTTTGCAAGCAGAAATCAACTTTGAACTTGACTCGTCTCCTACAAAACGGGCCTTGTGGTCAGAGGCCCAGTCCAGGCTGATTTTAAAACACAAACAGGAGGAAATCTTTTGGAAACAGCGGGCTCACATTCGCTGGATTAAAGATGGTGACGCGAACACACAATTTTTCCACAATTTCGTCAAGGGACGAAGGTCAAGACAGAAAATCCTATTCATTGAGGATGGGGATGGAAACTACATCACCAACCAAGACTCCATAGCCCTAGCAGCGGTGACACATTTTGAAAATCTATACTCTGACGAGGCTGTTCACTCAAGGGATGCGGACTACCTTCTAAATTTTCTACCAAGAGTCATTTCCACTGAAGAAAATAACGCTCTTACAACCCTTCCACAACTAGACGAAATCAAGAACACAATTTGGTCTCTAGATCCTAACAGCAGTCCAGGCCCAGATGGGTTTGGAGGGGAATTTTTCAGATGTTGCTGGGAAATAATAAAAGAGGATGTCAAATCCGCGGTGCAGGAATTTTTCCTGGGAATCCCTATGCCACAAGCACTATCATGCTCGCTTCTAGTGCTAATTCCTAAGACCCAATCCCCTTCGAAGCTAACGCAATATAGACCGATTAGCCTAGCAAACTTCCTTAACAAAGTTTGTACAAAAATTCTTGCGTCCAGATTAAAACCTCTGCTTCCCAAAATCATCTCACCCGAACAAATTGGGTTCATGGAGGGGGGGAACATTCATCATCACGCTCTACTAGCCCGGGAACTTCTGCATCACCTTGACCACAAAGTAAGAGGCAGTAACATTGCGGTCAAATTGGATTTAATCCAAGCTTTCGACCGGGTCTCTTGGACCTTTCTAGAGAGGGCTCTTTCGCAAACAGGTCTTAACCCTCGGGCAGTAGGATTGATCATGGGCAACCTCAAGGCAACCCACATCTCAGTCCTTATCAACGGCAGACCACATGGCTTTTTCAAGCCACAGAGGGGGGTCAAACAGGGTGACCCCCTTTCTCCTTATCTGTTTCTCATTATCTCAGAATGTTTTACAAGAACTTTACAAAGCCTGATACACAACCACAAAATAACTCCTTATCAAATTGGGAAGGGGTATTCAAACATACACAACCTAGCCTACGCAGATGACCTAATACTCTTTCTCAATGGAGCTGGAGCATCTCTCAAGCACCTCAAAAAACTGCTGCAAAGTTACTCCAATGCCACAGGACAATCAGTCAACCTGGACAAAAGCAAGATCATTGTTAGTAAGCATCTTCCCATTTTCAGAAAAAAGGCCATGGAAAAACAAACAGGAATGCTGACCACAACTCTACCAGTTACGTACCTTGGCACAACTCTTCACCAGGGAAAAACCAGAACATCCCATTGCCTCAAGCTTGTACAACAATTCGAAGGGAACCTCAGCACTTGGAAACAAAAAATGTTAAGCCAAAGTGGACGCTTAATTCTAATCAAACATGTGCTTACAGCAATACCCCTACACCTGCTAGCAGTCTCAAACATCCCAGCAAAGATAATTCAAATTCTACACATGCACATGGCGAACTTCTTTTGGGGGAAAAGGGAGAACAATAAGAAATACCACTGGATAAAATGGGAAAAGCTATGCTACCCGGGGGAGGAAGGAGGTCTAAACATTAGATCTCTCAAAGATATTCAAGCTGCCCTACAAGTCAAAAACTGGTGGACTTACAAGGAGGGGAAATCCATATGGGCTTCATATATGAAAAACAGATACGGAGATACTATGACCTATACACAAAGAGACTCTCCATCTTGGAAACAGTTATGCCGAACGGACTCAACGGCAAATGATTTAATAGAAATAAGAGAGGGACAACTCATCTGGACCGATACCAAGCATGGAAACTTCACACTATCCTCAGCCTACCATGCTCTTAGACCAACCAAACCCACCACTTTCAGTCAAAGACGCTTATGGGAAACTAAAAACCTTCTCAAACACAAATTATTCATGTGGAAATTGAATAACAAAATTCTGCCATTTCCAAAAAACCTTACTCGATTCAATTTACACATAGTCTCCAGATGTCCATTTTGCCAACACGGAGAATCTACAAACCACTGCCTATATGCATGCTCACAAATACAACCGGTTTGGATTTACTTTTCTAACATTTTGCAGGTTGGAGTAACTCACTACAATGATCTCAGACAAGCTCTATACAGATGGTGGATAGGAGGGGAAACACAGTCAACAAGAGGAATCTTAAGACAAATGGTCCCAGGAATCATCTCATGGCACATATGGAAATACTACAATCAAATGGTGTGGGACAGCAAACCATATTCCATCAAGGGGGCAATCAAAGATATCAAAACACACATTCATAACTGGGTCTCGAGCAATGCAAACAACAAATTCATCAAATTCGATTCGCAACTACATGAAGAAGGACTCATGCCAAATATAAGGAAATCAGGAACAATCAAAGCTGTGAAATGGAGCATTACCTCGGACGCAACCCTCTGCCTCAACGTAGACGCTTCTTTCTCACAGACCTTCAGCGCTGGAGGAGCAATAATTCGGGACCGAGGTGGGCAGATCTTGGACAGCTTCTGTTTTCCAACATCCTCCACCTCGGCCATACATGCAGAAATCGAAGCTTTATTAAAATCAATTGAAGCAGCAACATCAAAAGGACTCAAGGGATTCGAAGTGCAAACTGATTGTCAGGACATACATAACGCATACCAAGGCAAAACGACGATACCGGGGTTCATGAATTCCAAAATTCTTAAAATCAAGGAATTATGTAACATCAACAACCTAAAACTCACCCACACAGTAAGAGAAGCGAATAGGCCGGCACACTTACTCGCAAAGGAAGGAAGACGATCAACAAGTTTCTGCCGCTATGACGAACACACTCTCCCTCCTCAGGTACTGCAAGCTTGCTCGGAAGATAGACGAGGTCGTCCATTCTTTAGGGACACGGGCTAAGCAGAACCGGAACTTCAGCTCCTCTGGAACTCCCTCAACGGCGCACTCCATCTCTTGAACTCTCTGGAACGTTAGAGAGTTTTAAGGCTCCCCACACATTTTAACGTATTATGTTTGTCTGCGGAGATATTCTCTCCTTTTGTCCTTCACCGGTCACAAACACAGGCCCATTTTGAACGTGGGCTTTATTAGCTGGGCCGGTAATTTCACCACTTGTATCTTCACAACAAGTCTTTAATAAATATGGTTAGCGTTTCCCGACGCTAACCCCGTCTAAATGACGGCTTTTCGGGCCAAAAAAAAAAAAATACTTAGTACAATACAATTTCCATTTGTTTTTTTTTTTGCATTATTTTATTATTTATTACGGAGTATTTATTATCTAAATATATTACCTAAAATATTTATTCTCCAATTATATTTTAATGTGTAAATTATATTCAATAATAATAACCATATTAAAGTATACTCACTGATTCATCACAATTATATTTTTTCCAATTAATATTATCCACAATATTAATATTATCCACAACATTTAGTTTATTTTAAAACATTATTTTATTATTTATTATCTATAATATAAATTTAAAAATATATATTTACATTTAAAACATGAGCTTCAATTTCAATTTGATTTGTTATTTAATATGGCAGATGATATACCGCATAAAAACAATTTCGGTAGTCTATATGGTTCTTATATTGCATATTACATATATATTTACCTTATATTATTCATTACATGTATTTATTTACATATAGTTATTTACCTTATATCCATTTGTCTAAACTATTTTCTGCTTTTACTGATCATGACTTCTTAATTTTTTTTTATGAGGTGGCCACTAATATTTAACCATACAGACTCAAAATATGGATATTTATATTTAACTACAGAGACAAATTTTTTGATATTTATAGTTATCTAATATTTATTCAATTTGGGTTTTTCAGTTTTAATAAGACATATTTTCCATTTTCGATCTAGTGAGTCTATTATGTATTTAAATCAACAGTGGTTGAGGTAGGGTAGAGTTTTTTTGCAGGCTTAAATGTAATGTTCACAACAAATTAACATAACTGGAAATTGGAACACAACATGATTGCATTAGATTAAGAATAGGTTACATAACACTTGGCAAATGCCATTCCTTACAAACATAAGATCAAAATGGACTACCTAGCAAGTAATCCGCATCAAAAGTTTGTATCATAACCTGATCTTTTTTCCTAAGATATTACAGGCACAAAAAATATATAGAGGTCCATGAAAACACCGAAAACACACAACTGATACATATACATAGTGTACTTTAGTTGCCAAAAACATAGTAATTTTGCGACTCCTACTGCTTTTCCACCTTCACTTTCCGCAACCTCTTCACAGGATGGATAAATGAGGACTCATCAAATAGATTCCTCTTGATGCCATCATTGTTTATCTGTAGTGCTTTCCTTTGTCCCTTGGTCAGCAGGGGACTTGTCTCCTCCTCTTCAAGTGGGAAGACCTGCCAAATTTTAAAGACTTTAGTCACAGAAGTATTCTAAATTTAATACGGGTAGTAATTATCAAATAGTCAACCCAAACATCAAGTCACAAATTATAAGGCACATCACACATACTTCCTCAGTCACGGAAAACTCCTTTTTGAGCAACGTGAAATCATCTTCATCCTCCACTGCTTTTCCTTTATTCTTGCTCTTGTACAAACCCACAACGGCAGGATCACAATTCATCCCAATTACACTAAACGTTGGCACACCCCTGTAGCTTATAGTTTCACTCTTTGTTTGAACTCGAAACAACCCCTCAATTCCAACCAATGCATCAATTTCAACTGGAAAATAGTAAAGTCCAGCACCTTTCTGTATATTCCACGAACTTATATATATTAAACTTTGTATATTCCTCATACCTATCTCAACATTAAACATTAAAACATATCTTAAAAAAACCTTTTCAATCTCTTCACGAAGAGTATTTGCTGTCTTTCCTACCAAAGCAGTGCATTCTTTGTCCCAAAATACAAAGGAAGCATGACCGGTTTCATCCATCACCCTCACATTGACCTTGTACCTGAAAACTCACAAAAATCACAAACATTAGTGTAGGTCTGTATTCTGGCACTTTAAAAAATCCAAATATGAAAAACATTTCTAACCTCAGAACAACTTCTGTAGTGTTGCACGCTCCACACCTGAAACTATCACCTTCAGATTTCACTTTTCTACTACACCCCTTGCAAGAAATATAGTACCAATCTCGGTAACTGTCTATTGCCAATATCTCTCCACAGACCCAATGCTTGCCATCCTATGAACAAAATACATCCCAAAATGTTATCAATTTGTACCAATCAAATTACATTCATTGTTTTATAATCAATTGCATATGTTAAACCTCACCTCTTTCATTTTCATTAGATCATCAACAGAAACCAAGTTAACTTCACCGCTTTCTAGATCATCTTGAAGGGTAGGAGTAACAAAACTGCCCAAGGCAAGATCATCCCCATCATCATCATTATCAGGCCCAAACCTATATCATTTTTGTGATGAGTTGATTACATTACAAACATTAATTTTTAGTTTCAATTCTTTAAGAAATACTTACGACGCTATAAACTCCACACTCTCCTTGCTGTCACTGTTCAGCAGCATCTTTGACATGTTGAACATGTTTGTTACATCCACACGACCTAAAAAATTTAAACTGTCAAGTGTAAATATACAAACTGCATACATGCGCTCTAAGAATGTGATATAGGAATCATATAGCTATGAACACATACCCTGAAATTTCCTTGCACGACATAGTTGAAGAATTAGAAAGATCTTTTTAGGTTTTGTTTTCAGAAAATCTATCAACTGGTCCACCAAGTCCTCCCATAAAGTGCAAGTAATCGTATTCCCACTACATCATAACATTAGATAAGTTTGAGCATTTAATAGTACAGCAGTATGAAACCTTAAGTTAAAAATACTTACTGAGCATCACCAAGGGTGAGATCCACCAACTGAGTTTGCCTACCAAGCTTTGTTAGTGCCTTAGGGTGTGACATTGATGTTACCTTGCCGATGACATCTATAAGCGATAGAAATTTTCATAATGACTTTTCCTTACAACAAACATTTAACAGAAAACAATTTTTTAATGAAAATTTACCTATCGCGTGACTGTCATCAACCTCTTCGGCGGCTTGCAAGGCAGCAATTGATGTAAAGTCAAACATCCTCATTGGGAAATTGATTTTTGAAATCTCAAATGCTTCAGTTTTATTGAGGAACAACAACTTATAAGCATTCCTCGTTGTCTTGAAATTCATATAGTTGTCTTAGACCAGGAAATTTCTAATTGCATACACTTTTCCTTCCTTGAACAATGGCTCAAACTTTGGAACCTGGGCCTTCACAATGTGTGCATGTATTTTTGTTCCCTGTGTAGACACATGTTAGTTCATAGAATCACTACAACTTTTACACATCAAACTGAAAAGAAAACAACTAACCTCGGAGTCATGGAAAATGCAGTGCAAGGATTCACCATGAATCCCATAGGCTGGGGTTGCATATACCCGAACCGCTCTTACTTTGACAGTCCAAGATGTTTTGTCTTGGCCAAACTGGTTTATTAAAGACCACATGCCAACCATTTTGAGCAATTAAGTATTTAGGAGGAACTCAATGAAGGATAGTAAAAAGTGATGGATGACATGAGTATTTATAGCAACCTGGCATGCCATTGCCTATTCACTATGCAAACATATATTCATGTTTATTTATTTTTACGAAAATGGCCCCAATGAGCTGTCAAACACTTATCCTTTTATCATTTTATCATTTTATTAGAGCAATACACCATCCAACAAAATATTTACAATTATAATGATATCAGTTTGCTTTAATTTCAGAAAAAGCATGCCCAGCCACCAAATTCGGATGGAGATGCCTATTCCATCAGCAAACAGTAACTAAGAAGAGGCTGTAATATCAATTTTTTACAGCTGTAATGTCTGTTTTTACGGCTCAACTGTTCACAATGTAATGATAATCTCTTAGTGCAATTTTACCCTTTAGAAATTAACTTTTACAAGGTTATTTATGTAATATAACTGATCAGACTCTTCTGGGCGGGAACACTGTTGAAAAAACAGTGTTTTCATAGATTTTGCTTTTATATTGTAGTAGATTTGTGTTAATCTTAAAGAGGGAGAGGTAATACAAGTACCTTTTTGTCATAAGCCCACTAAACAGTCACGTGGTAAAAAAAAAGTGGACCATAGCTGTTTCGGAATTTGGACCACGGTATTCGCCTCCTCCGACTCTCGGAGGGTTGGGAACGTTTTGGCAACAACGTCAAGACTCCTCTCTGAGCGATTCTGTACCTTTTTATTCTTTGCAAAGTCTTCTTCTCAGTTTTAGAGACGACCTAGTGAATGGATTACCCCTCTGGTCCCTGATCCACGTCTGAGAGAAGAGGTACATTTGTTTACATATCCTTTATTGGGTTTCTACAGTTTATTTAGTTTTCCTAATAACCGGTATTTGGCTTAAAGGATCAATCTGGCCATGAAAAAACGAAGCTTCATCCTTTTCTCGATACACGTCAAACGAAAAATTAGGGTTTCATTGGATTTAGGATATTATTGATTATTGATATTAATCTGAGCTTGCTCTTTTGAGTTGCTGCTAAAATGATGACACTATGTATTTTCCTAATCTGCTCTTTCTATTTAGTTCCATTGATCATCTATTAGTGAATTCCTAACCAATTAAATTGCGTGACAACTTTTGGTAGAACATACGTTAGCCCAGAGTTATAGTTAGGGAACTAGAGCATGCTGATGTGCGATTTTCTTCTTCGTTATTAGCAAGAATTAATTAAACAATAGGAGATCATAATTTAGCCTATTGAGTGAATCAGAGCATGCTGGTGTTGCTTTTAACAAACTCAAGGGGTGTTTAGACACTTTTTAACCCTCTTTTACAAGGTTTATCTATAATTGAACGTTTCCAGTGCTTACTTAAGAGGGAAAACTTTGGATTTTACTTTTCACTAGCTGTTATCGATTATCTTTAATCTTTTTTAATGGTATCCATGTCTCCCATTGATCACTGTAATTCTTGGAAGCAATTACAAACAATGATTATAACAAGCCTAATATGCTCATCTTTGTTAAGCCAATGTTTGAAATTGCATATTGCATAGTTGAGGCAGTCTCTGAAGATTACGTATTGCGTAAGGCTCATTGCACAATGAGCCAATGAGACGTAAGCCTTTAGTTTTTAAAGCACACCCACATAAATACATAGTACATAAAATAAAATAAAAAGTAAAAGAAGGTATTCATTTTAAGTCAACCCTGAACTCATTTGGGATTAAGGCTTGGATGTTGTTGTTGCGTTAAAAGTCAACATACTTTGTACTTGGTTTATAGTGCATTAGTGCATATCCGATGTTTGCAGTCATGATTACAGTGCAGTTCCATACTGACATAAGTTCATAACTTCATCATTCATTCTTTTGATATTTTATGTAATTTTTAAAAAATATTATCTTTAGTTCCCAAAGACAGATTTTTAGTGTGCCTGATGTTTTTATGTGTTTGCACAGTTTGCATCCCGTGAATGAAATGTATTAATATTTGTTTTTCATTGCGCCCTGGGGTGCTAGCACCCCTGCGCACCTTATCCTTTACCCCTATGCTGAAGTTTAATGTTCCTTTACCCCTATCCTTTTCCAGATCTCTTTTTGATTTTTAATGTTAATTTGAGTCCTCTACTTATGCAGTTCATCTTTGTACATATTAAAATGCAGAATCTTATATCAGACTTGGTCTCTGGGAACTGGATAAAGGGGAAGACAGTTCAACAGTTAATGTGCCACTGTTGAAAGTAGATTCTTAGTTGGATGCAGTTTCTGGTTAATTGGTTAGCATAGTCCTTATTAGTTAATTAGCAACCTGTGTAACTGTATGTCAAATCATTCTGGAAATGAGGCTACACCATTTACTGTTAATTTTTCTATTTGCATCGGTCTTGAGTAGCTATGTGAGTGCAGATTCTGAAAATGAATCTTTACAAAAAGTAATAACTGCCCCACTCAGGAATTCTGGAAGTAATGTAATAGATGGTTCTGGAACAGAGTATGCCTTTTCATCTGGGAATGATGATCCGAGAGGTGGGAGCAGTAGGGTTTCAGTGTCAACAGTTGCCTTTTTCACACTTGCTATGGCTGCTGCTACTGGTTTGGGTGCATTGCCTTTCTTCTTTGTCGACCTTGACCCCCAGTGGTCTGGAATATGCAATGGAATGGCTGCTGGAGTTATGCTAGCAGCTAGCTTTGACCTTATACAAGAAGGGCAAGACCATGGTAGTGGCAGTTGGGTGGTGTTTGGTATTTTGACGGGCGGAATTTTCATTTCGCTTTGTAAAAAGGTAAATCTCTTTGACTAAAGTCCTGTCTGTTGTGGTTTGATTGGTAGGAAATATGAAAGAATTTCTTGATTGGTAGACAAGAGAATTTGAGATGAGAGAAAAAATTGGCAGGAGGCCCACCCATTTTTCTTTCTTCCGCTCCAACAGGAAGAAATGTAGGGAAAAGGCTCACTCTTCCCCAATGTTTTCTCTTTTTATGTTTCTCTCTTCCCTTCAATGTGGATGTTTTTGTCTTCTAATAATATTACTTTTATTTTCATTAGAAACCGCTCTTTCTCTTATACCAAAGTACCAAACAACATTAAATAATCTACTTCCTTTCTTATCTATTTTTCTATTCTTACTATCTTCCCACTCTCTCTTTCTTCTCATTTTCTTCTAACAACCAAGTAAAGCATTATATTGAGCCACACATGTCTCTTTACGTTGTCATTATTCTATATTTGTGTCCTTTTCAAACTGAATGATGTAAGAAGGTTGTTAATTAGAATTCATGAGCCTCAGCATACTGAAGTTATCAGTTATCATCTTACACTCATAAATATAGTTTGAATGTGTCTTGTATGTCTGTTGCATAATACCTGACATTTAACTGTATTTTTTCCTTATGTCAATTCTGAGAAACAGTTTCTTGATCATTATGGGGAAGTTAGCATGTTAGATATAAAGGGAGCAGATGCAGCAAAAGCTGTACTTGTCATAGGAATTATGACTCTCCATTCATTTGGTGAAGGTGCTGGTGTTGGGGTATCCTTTGCTGGCTCCAAAGGCCTGTCCCAGGGTTTATTGGTAACATTGGCCATTGCGGTGCATAATATTCCAGAAGGTTTGGCTGTGAGTATGGTTCTTGCGTCTAAAGGAGTTCCTCCACATAAGGCAATGTTATGGAGCATAATTACTTCACTGCCACAGGTAAATAACTGAGGTTTCAATTGGGATTGATTGATTTGCTTACGATGGTGATAAATTTAGGGCTTAATATCATAAGTAGTGATATAATGATATTAAATACAATATTTATCATGCTGTTGATGCAGCCTATAGTAGCAGTGCCATCATTTGTGT